GCATATCATAGCATAGTATAGCATAACATAACATAGCGCAGCCTAGCATACCCTAGCATAGCATAGCATAGCATAGCACAGCATTGCGCAGCATAGCGCAGCATAGCGCAGCATAGCATAGCATAGCATAGCACAGCATAGCATAGCATAGCATAGCGCAGCATAGCATAGCATAGCATAGCATAGCATAGCATCAAAGCAAAGGCAAAGCAACAGCAGCAACAGCAAAGCAAAGCACAAGCAACGCAAAGCAAAGCAAAGCAAAAGCAAAAGCAAAGCAAAGGAAAGGCAAAGCAAAAGCAATGTGCGACAGGTGCCGAGCTAGCCTCGATGGCAAGATTGGAGCCCCCGCAAGCAGTGCTGAACAGCCTGCAGCTCTTGCAGGAGCGAAGGCAAAACAAAAGCAAGACCAAGCAAAAGCAAAAACAAACGCAAAGCAAAAGCAACAGCAAAAACAAAAGCAAAAGCAAAGGCAAAGGCAAAAGCAAAGGCAAGAGCAATAGCAAAGGCAATGCAAAGCAAAAGCAAAACCAATGCGAAAGTGTAGATGTAGATTTAGATGTAGGTGTAGGTGTAGATGTGGATGTAGGTGTAGATGTAGATGTAGATGTACATGTAGGTGTTGATGTAGGTGTAGATGTAGATGTAGAAGTGTGTGTGTAGCTGTAGATGTAGATGTAGATGTAGATGTAGATGCATGTGTACATGTAGATGTAGCTGTAGGTGTAGATGTGGATGTAGGTCTAGATGTAGATGTAGGTATTAAGCTGTACTACTACTACTACTACTACTACTACTACTACTACTACTACTACTACTACTACTACTACTACTACTACTAGCACTATCACTACTACTACTACTACTACTACTACTACTACTACTACTACTACTACTACTACTACTACTACTATTACTACTACTACTACTACTACTACTACTGCTACTACTACTACTACTGCTACTACTACGATTACCACTACCATGACTACGACTGCTGCTACTACTACTACTACCACTACTACTACTACTACTACTACTACTACTACTACTACTACTGCTACTACCACTACTACTACTACTACTACTACTACTACTACTACTACTACTACTACTACTACTACTAACTACTACACTATCACTATCACTATCACTACTACTACTACTACTACTACTACTACTACTACTACTACTACTACTACTACTACTACTACTACTACTACTACTACCGCTACTGCTACAACAGAGACGATGAAGAGAAGGAGGAGGACGGCGTTTACCGTTACTACTAATATTGCTCTCCTCGGGGCTCCAACTCCTAGGTAGGGTCGCTCTGGGATAATTGTTATTCATTGTTTTGCCGATCGGCGCGGGCCCTCGCACCCCCCCTCCCCACCCTTCCCCATCGAGTAGATCATGGCTGTTTTGGGCGCCTGTTCGAGGCAGGTGGGGACCCTCCCCCATAGGACGTTCTGTTGCGAACAGTCGCACTAAGCAGAGGCCGGGAGCTGGACCCCCCCCCTCCCCCCCACTCCCCCTCTCTGTCCAATGTCGAAACACCGAGTAAAAAAAACGCCCACATCCCCGACCTTTTCTAGAGAAGTCAGGCCGCTCAAGAAAGGAGGTAAGCTCGGGGATGCACCCCCAGAGGACTGTCCGGACACACCCCGATCGAAGATGGACGCCTCTCAACGTACATCCTCTGAAGGGTTTCTCCGAAGGGCTTAGGCGACCCGTCCTCCTCCTCCTCCTCCTCCTCCTCCTCCTCCCTCCTCCTCCTCCTCCTCCTCCTCCTCCTCCTCTCCTCTCCATCTCCTCCTCCCCCTCCCATCCTCCTCCTCCTCCTCCTCCTCCTCCTCCTCCTCCTCCTCCTCCTCCTCCTCCTCCTCCTCCTCCTCGGGTCGCATACAGCCCCGGGGGAAACCGTGCAATATCCCCGAGTTGGACATGCTATTCTTGATTCAGTCACAAAGCCTAATGAAGTCTGAGATAGGATTCGACATATCTCCTGTCAGAAGGGTTGACCCGACGTAGTCCTCGGCGAAAGCCGGAGGGTGCACATCCCAGATGCTGAAACAAGGAACGGCTTAGGCTCAAGATAGGGCTCTGAATTTCGGGCCATTCCTTAGATCTAGGTCGGGATATTCGTGGCAGACGCTAGCCGTTGCTCCAACAAACAACCGTCGTTCCTTGTTTGGCTTTCTCATGGTGGCACGATGGCCATAAATCGAGAGTGGCTTCGCCACCAGATTTTTCGAATACCCAATAAGCCAGGTCAACGCCAGAGGCATCAGGTCAATCGGATTGCTGGAGCTGGCAATTTGAGCCTGGCCCAGACGGAATGCGTGTGGGAGTGGGCGGAGGAGCAGAAGGCACACTCACCTGGGAAACCCCTAACCCACGTGTATGTCGAGTGATCCAGTGATCTAGTGATCCTGTCGTGTGGGTCCGCTGATCCGTTCGCGTGAACCTGGTGATCCAGTTATCCAGTGATTCCGTG